GCGGCGATGCATCGCTGCGCCAGGTGCCCAGACAGATGGGGCGCAACCAGAGATCTGAGTCGGGAATCAAGACGACGTTATTAACGGCACGGCCGCCGACCCGGTTGAAAAGGCATCCCCTAGCAACCTCCTCGTCTCAGAGATTGGATTCGACTGACCTCTATTTCCAACAAGAGCACTCCAGTTCTCCGATTTTTCTTGTCTGACTTTGAATGGGGGCCTCGCTGTCAGTGCGAAATCAACGCTCGCCAAACGCTCGCTGTCATTGGGCTGTCAGAAGCACCACTCCGTAAGTACTGCACAACGCAACACCCTCAACTGTAGCTACTATCTTCTGGCTCATCGATACAGTGCTGAAAATTCACAAATAAAAACTTTAGTTTTTTTTGTGCTCTTGGGTAGTGCTGTCCATAATATGATATTGATATGATTTTTGCCATATCATATTATATCCTTATCATATTATGCCCTCAGCCTCCATATTGTATTTGTATTATATTATCTGCATATGTATTAATACGTATTAGAATATATCAATAATATATTAATAATATTCCGTGAGGTTAATGTTCTGAGCAGTTCTGGAGTCGAGACCCTGGAAAAGTTCATATATCAGCTATTCTTCTGTTATAATACATGGATAAGTTCTCTTGGCAGACCAACATCTCTAGTGACTCCAGGATTGCAAGAATCTCCAGTGCATGAATGTTTGATGGGGAGGCTGGTCTCTCTCAAAGATTTGAGCCTGAGCTTGCAGGGAAGGCAGCAGCACTGCTGCTGGGGACGTTGAGTTCTCCTGGAACCACCTGTCGAATTTCTCAGCCAGGTTCTGTCCTGGTGCATTCCTAGGTAAGAAGCAACCATTTGGGAGGACAAGTCTGTTATCCGCATTATGGAAGCGCTTCTCGGATTGGATGTAGTCTGCTGCAAGGTTACATTCATAGAGGAAATGACCCATCTCGGAGCAGAACCTGCATTCGCCAGGGCAGAACATGGTGCCTCCTCTGGGTGCATCTCGAGGCGGCCATGGTTGGCACAGCAGATAGCCTCCCTGCTGCTGAGGATAACTGTCTCTTGCACTGTAGGTATTGTGGCCTCGGTGAGACCATCTCGAGAGCCGTAGCTTGGTAGATCAGATAGGTCTGCTGAGGCAGGCTGATTTGCATTCCTCGATCAACAGCCTGTGTGAGTGTCTGCATATCGATGTGGTATCTCTGGTTCATTTTGGCAATTGTATCGCTAAGCTCTACCATCTCCTTTTTGATGAACACAGTGTCTGCCAATTTGCCGACCTCTGATTCTGGGGTATCGAGGATGTATTGTCCTGCCTCAATCATGTCATCTATTTCTCATGGCATCCCTGACAGGTGCGTTGGTTTGAGAATCTCCATCCAGCAGACAAAGCTCACCTGGAAGTCCTCATGCAGTCCTTTCGGGAACATTTTCTTTGACTCCAGCTCCGACATTCAGCCTTCCCTGATGAGGTGATCTGTAATGGTTCGGAACTTGTGGCAGTATTCAGTGAAGCTGTCTTTTGAAGTCATCCGCTTCAAGACTCCAGTGGAAATGAACATGTCAAGATCATTCAAGGAGAAGATCGCACTCCCATCCAACCCCAGGTACAACTTTTCAACTTCTTTCTTGAAGTTGGCCCAGGTCATCTGGTTTCCATCTCCCAGTAGGACTCCTTTCCAAAGGAGCTTGTTGTTCCAGTTGATATATCGGAAGGCGATTTTCATCTTCTCTGCATCAGTCTGCCTGTCACAAGTTTCTGCGACTTCCTCAATGTCCTCCCAATATCTTTTGAGGCTAAGGGCCTTGCCATCAAATTCAGGTGCCCCACGGGCCATCCTTCTGGGAAGTGTTTTGGACATCCTTTTCCGGACAGGGGGTTGTGTTTCTGTAACTGGTTCTGTGGTTGAGTTTGTTAAGGTAGACTCGGTGGATAGGGCATTTAATTGGTCTGAACTGCTGGGGACCGAGTCGATGGAGGACTCTGGCGTGAGAGAAGTAGGCAGTATCTCTGGAGATAAGTTAAGGGAAGTGAGAGGCGACTCCTCTATGAGGGGTGGATCGACAAAGGGGGATGTAGTGCGTGCTACAGTAAAGGCTGAGGCTACTGGATCGGTTTCAGTGAGGTTTACTTCTTAGGAGAGATTCCTTAATGCTCGGGTTAAGTGAGCTGGAGTCCGTAACGGCTCAGGTGTATTGGCACTCTGTCTGGTGGAAACAAGACTTTGTTTCTGTCTAAAATCCACTATAAACCCCCCTCACAGTGCGCTCCAGTTGTGATAAGGACCGTGGTGTCGGTATCAAAAAGTGTGTGATTCAAATTCGACTGTGTTCATCCTCTAGAGGGGAAAATATAGTCAAATGATAGGAAGGAAGGTCGGTGCGCAAATCAGCCTTGTGTGAGCGGTGGGTGGGTGTGTGTGTGAACACTGATTCGTGGAGGCCATTTGTCTCCTAGGTGTAGAAGAGTGTGGTGGACCTGTTGTCAGTGAAAAACAATAGAGGAGATGTGAATTACTAGACCTGTTTCCCCGTACGAGTGTAATGGAACCCTAAATGTTTTGCCCTGTCTGCTTTCCTTGGTACACTCTTCCCCTTAGAACCAGCACTGGAGATGCAATGAGTGTCGCACAGACAATGACACCAACATTATTCGGTTGACGGCAAGACAATCGGTCTCGTTGGCTACAGATGGCAATTTGAATGTGGTGGCTTCTCTCTGAGCCTGTTTTCTACAGAGTGGTACTCGTGAGAACGGTGATCCTAATCGAGGAAGCCTGGTAATGTGGCACCGGGTTCGGTGAGGAGGGACCCTGCTGATGGAGGTGTTAGAGGTGAGACACCAATGAGCGTGAGTGAATGTAAGAAGTGTGGCCTGTCTCTGGCTGTGGGGCAAGGAGAAGGGAGCACAAGAGGTATGAGGTCGGGGGAAGGCTGGGAGTACCCTTTTAGATTGAGTGAGAGTGGTACAGAAAGTGGGGGAAACACCATGGAAGCTACTTCTGCAGGCCGGAAGGTACTGCCTACTCCTACTAAATGCACTCCCTTTTATACCTCCTTGATGACTTCCCACATTTCCAGAGGTGCCATGCAGGTCACAGGTGTTTCCAGGACAGGGGATGTCATGAGGTGTTTTGGGGTGCATATACAGCAGGAGAACGGGCTCCTCTGCTGAGGAGACCAATTGTCTTTGGGTGAGCACGAGGCACAGCGAGGCCGAGCAACCTCAGAATATGTTTGGAGCTTCAGGCATGGCCTGGCGGTTGTGTTGGTAGGTGCTCGAGTGTTCAGGAAGGAGGAGAGACAGATGGTCTCCCTAAGCTAGTCAATGTGTCATGTGAAGTGGGGGACGAGTAGTGTCGGGATACCCTCTGCCTCATCCAATGGGTCAATTTCAGTCACAAGGTAGGTCTGTCTGGTGTGAGAGATCATCCGAAAACAGAAAATAGGGGAGGTCATCCACCCGTCGCACCACGGGAGGGGACCGGTCACATCCTGTCGACAATTACTGGACACTGAGTAGTGACAGCATGATCTGTGTGGTAAGGGGAGTGCTGGTCTCATTCATCAGAGATGCATATACGGAGGGTTGATTGCCACCTATGCATTGTAGGAAGGAGTTGAGAGTCCGGTCCTGGGGAACAGTTGTATCTGGCTGACGATGGTGCGGGAGCGAGTTTGAGTGGCGGAGAAGACAATGCAGATGGTGGGGAGAGCATTGGTCTCCCTCAAAGGCTGCTTCCAGTAACGTAGAATCCCGTTTAGGATGATCAGTCACGTATATTGAAGCTCATTCTGTCATGGTGCAGATGGTCTGCAGGGGCCATGAGGCGACAAGCAGTGCGTAGCACGCTCGGAGACCTCACAGTGGAAACTTGAGTGTCCTTAGAACTTAAGTAGAAGACTTGGGGGCATGTCTCAAGTCAGGCGGAACTTAAGACATCAAGCATGACTTAAGTCAGATGGAACTTAAGTCTTAGGTGGAAGTTGTGAATGGGACCCTGCTTGTGTTGGCAGCAGGTGGGAGTGGGTGAAGAAAGACTTAAGATGCTTTATATAAGATCTATAAAACTTGAGACCTTGGTCGATCTACAGCAAGAGGTCTTAAGATAGGCTAATAAATTAGTTGCCAAAAATGGGGAGTGGTACAATTTTCGGTGATTTTTGGTATTTCAGACCTCCATGGAGGTTGGTATTGTGTTATATGGTGCCAATAGTGCATCTCGGGATGCATACATATCATCCGAGGCCCCATGTGAAATTTCAGATCTCCAGGTGGCGTGTATATCTCACAGTATATTGAAAGAATGTGACCATTGAGCCAAATTTGATTCAACTTTGGTTCAAAAGTTCAGGGTGTCTTCCAACCTCTCTAAAACTCGGGCTAACTCATCAGGGTGAATAGCCATAGGTTATATATGCAAGATTTGTCCTACAAAGTTTCAGGCTGATGCGACAAGAGGGGCTGTCGAGGTGAGGCTGGCAAGCAGGAAATGACGTACTCGGACACTCAGACCTCAGGTCAAAGAAATTGACCTCGATTGACGAGCTGTGAACCGTTTCACAAGATTCCTTTGCCTCATCCTTACATTTCCCAAATTTCAAGTGATCTGTCCACTCAGATCGATATGAATCCACCTGTGGGTGAAGATATTCATGTGTTTTCCCTAAATGTCCAAGTACTAGGGGAAGGATAGTAGCGGTAAAGCGAGCGACTCAAGTTCCGAAAGTATTGGAGCGAAACGGCTTGGTTGAACTGTGTGATGCCTCTGGGCTCGAGAAATTGCGATCCGGTAAAAACTTCAGGGTCGAGGTGGAGTTCCAGTTGACGGGCCGGTAGCTACTATAGCAACTTGGGTTGGGGGGCGATCCGGTTCCGATTTCTCAGCGTTGCGGGTCGATACTCGGGGTCGAGGGCATGGGCAGTGGTCGAGCAAGAGCTCATGAGCGCTCCTAAAAGAAAATCAACCAGGAATCAAACGACCACATGTCCCTGGGTGAATTCGAACCACCAGCTCTCCCGTGCTTGAATCATCGAAGACAGCAATGGGGAGGGAGGGAGTTGCCTCACTTACTCCACAGGGACCTGGTACATTAATTTGTGAGCCTGAACGAACCTCGTCGAGGTTGTCATCGAATAGACGATGTAAGATGCCACGGAGCGAGCCTGTCGGGACCAGTAGCTTCCGTCGCCTTCGGCAGCGTAACCCGTCGTCGTCTTTGTCTGAGCAACAAACCGAATTAATGTTCGAGTTGAACAAAACAACATTACCAATAGGGGAAGTCAAAGATGCCGTTTTGGAAACTGATTCAACTTGTGATTCACGTCCGATTCATAAGACAGAATCAATCAAGAATCGGAATCAGCTTTGACCACCCCCGATTCACTCTCGCTTTAGACTTTGATTCTTCAACAATTCAAATGCCTTGTTCAGTAATTTATTTAGATACATAGCCGGTAAAATATACATAATTTTATTGCCGCCCTCGTGACTCAGACCGAAGGTTTCTTGTCCTAGCACCGTACGACAAATTTCGGGCTCATGCCTCGGCTTTCTGCACGACAAGCGCGGGCGCTCGACGTCGTTAAAACATTCCTGGACCATCATACTACACAAATCAAACGGGCCTTACGTCGCAGGCACAAATTCTGTTTTCACTGCTTTCCGAATCGTCTTCGCGTGCCTTGGCTTTCTCCGTGGGGTTTCTCTTTCGTGGAGGAGGCTTGGATGGAATGGCCGTTTGGACTTTGTTTTGACTATGGTGACGGTACGGGTTACGTGAAGAGATTATGAATAATACATAAAATATATATTTTATGTGATAAAACATGTGATGAGGGAAAATTTAAGTCGGGGGTCAGGACGGATGAGCGATTCAAAAAGCCGATTCTGAAAGTGTTCCTCCTCGGGAGGAGGAACACCGATTCAGACCGATTCGAAGCGAAACACCGATTCTTGATGGATTCGTGATCAAGAATCGACGTCTGAATCAGTCCCAGAATCGGTCTTGAATCGAGCCGCTGAATCGATCTTTGACTTCCCCTAATACGCCAGGTACCCCATCCCCCCCGGATTCAGGCCAATTACAAGTTCGAGCCAGTCCGAGCCTGTGAAGAAACTCCAGTACTAGTTGGCCATGGGGGCATCGGACGCAGCGTGGTTGGATGGATGATGTTCGAGACTTTTAGTGATCCATCCTCTGAGCCGTCTCGAGAAAGAAGCAGAAAGACCAAGGACTGGAGCGCGAAGAAAAACCATGTCGTGTTACATCCCTAGGTGGATTCGAGCCACCAGCTCTCCCGTACGCGTTCGCTAGATTCACTAAGTACATGCGAGGTAGGAGTGAGTTGCCTAGCTTACTCCACGGGGACTTGGTGTGGTCGTTGTGAGCCAGGTTAAACTTGGGATAAGGTACCACAACCGCGAAGAGAGGGGCGTCGACGGTCGGAGAAGTTGAATGAAGGAGATGCTTCAACAGACCGGCGGATAAGAGTTGTCGCGAAGCATGTGCGGCAGATGCTGAGTCCAGCAGATTCGGGCGTAGGGGTAGCCGATTTGCGGCTGGGGATTTTGATTCAGCGCAGCGAGGAATGGGCGACGGCTGGCAGAGGAGGGCAGGACGTGAGCTGAGACTTGTGTTAAAGACAGGGGTGGGAAGATTACATGCATGATGCTTACCTCACTGCCTGGATGCCTTGCGGTTCCGTCTTTGGACGTCCATGCAAGAGTGCCTTCAACAGGCAACGTTCTAGTCGCAATCTGCCTTGGGGCTTTCTAATAGCGGCTTCTTGGCTTCGCGCGCGCTTGCTGGAATTTTCTGGGAACTGGTCTGCGAACTTTTGTTATCTGGTGCACAACACTCCGTAATGCCACCGACGCCGACGCGGACGACGAGCTCGGCCTCGGGCTCGGCGTCAGCCTCGCAAGAGGACGAAGAGCTGCGCCCGTACATCATCGTGAGCGACATCGGCAAGGGCAGCTTTGCGACGGTGTACAAGGGCTATCATGAAGTGCGCGTTGTTTGTCGGGTGAACGAGTGACTTTTATACTGAGCTCGCGTGCAGGACAACCACCAGAGCGTTGCAATAAAGACGGTCCTCCGCCAAAAGCTCTCCGCCAAGCTCTTCGAGAACCTCCAGTCCGAGATCCAGATCCTCAAGTCTCTGTCGCATAGACACATTACCAAACTCATTGATATTGTGGTGCGTGCCCTTCCTTCCCTCGAGTTCCATTCGAGAATAAGTTGGACGTGTCTGCAGCGCACAGACCGCAACATCTACCTCATCATGGAGTACTGCTCCGGCGGCGACCTCACCAACTACATCAAGAAGCGCGGCCGCGTCGAGACACTCGAATACGTCCCCGCCCCCGGCGCCGCGCCGCAGTACTACCCCCACCCTCGCACCGGTGGGCTCGCTGAGCCTGTCGTGCGCTCCTTCCTCCGCCAATTAGGTGCGTGGTGCCGCCGCCGCCTTTCAATCTTTGACTGATGTAAATCGTTCATTCGTTTACAGCCCGCGCACTCAAGTTCCTGCGGCACCGGAACCTCATCCACCGCGACGTCAAGCCGCAGAACCTCCTCCTCTGCCCAGCGCCCGCCGCGGAGCTCGCGCGCGGCACCCACCCCCTCGGCGTGCCCCTCCTCAAAGTAGCCGACTTTGGCTTTGCGCGGTCCCTCCCGAACGCGATGATGGCGGAGACGCTGTGTGGGTCGCCGTGAGTGTCGAGCGTTTCGTGCTTCCTACATATTTCTTCTGTCCATCCCTTCCTTCTCTCAACTTTACTCGTGCGCGAACCCACGTTCGTGCCACTCCCTCGCCCCCTTGTCTTTATTTCATGTGGCATATTCACGCTAACATTTGCTCATACAGACTCTACATGGCCCCCGAAATCCTCCGGTACCAGAAGTACGACGCTAAGGCCGACCTCTGGTCCGTCGGCGCGGTCCTATACGAGATGGCTGTCGGCCGCCCGCCCTTCCGCGCCGCAAACCACATCGAGCTGCTGAAGAAGATCGAGGCCGGGCGGGGCGTACGGTTTCCGGACGAGGCGGATGCGTCCACCAAGTCCAATCCTACGTCCGAAGACAAACCTGCGCCGACACCAGTGCCAAGCGACGTGAAGACGCTCATCCGCGCACTCCTGAAGCAGAACCCGGCGGAGCGCGCGAGCTTCGAGGAGTTCTTTGGAAGCGTCGCGCTCGCGCGGAGCAAGTTCCCGCGCCAGTCCTCGTCTACTGCATCGCCGGCGGGGTCGTCGGCGGATGTGGCGGGCGTGGAGGGCAGCTCGGCGCAAGGAGCTGGAGGAGACGGGGGAGGAGCGGGCCCCGCGGCGGTGCCCCCACACCACCTCGTCATCCCGCCGGAGGTGCTCGATCCGAACGCGATGATCCCGCCGAGTAAGTTTCGGTTTCGGGACAGAGAGCGTCCAGTGGGCGCGGAGGCGTCGCCCAGGTATGTCTCGTTTCTCAGCCCTTTCTTTTGGTTACTGATATGAGATGGATGCCAGCTCTGGCTCCCCGCCCTCACGCGACAGCGAGCCGCCGACAGAGAAGGTCCGCCGGCCCTCGAACCCGTCCTCGACGATACCGATAAACCACTCGCCGCTGCGGCCGCCGCGCGCACTCGAGCGGGATCGCGAGGGTGGGGGTGGAGGAGACGGCGAGGGCTCGTATATCCCCGGGGAGACGGAGGAGGACGGGATACTGCGGAGGGAGTACGTGCTCGTGGGGGACGGGCGCGCGGTGGAGTTCAACCGCGCCGTCGACGAGCTCAGCGCGGTGCCCCGCCGGCCGCTGCACGACCGGCGGACTCCGTCCTCGGCGACACCCACACCCACGCCGGGGGAGGAGTACCCTGAGCCGCCCTCGCCTCAGGCGAACTTGACGGCGAATGGGAATGGGAACGGGAACCACACGTCGTTCCCCCCGCCGCAGTACCCCGGTACGATGCCGCCGCCGCCGCCGCCGCCGTTGTCGTCCTCCCCCTCGAGCATCGCCTCGCGCGCGGCGTCGAACGCGCTCAACCGCGCGCTGAGCCTGGCGTCGAAGAAGCTTTTTGGGGCCGCGGGGCGAAGATCGTCTTCTGCGTCGCGCAATAGCCACGAAAGTGTGCCGCCGTCGCCGCGGCGGGCGATTATCGCGCTGGGGGATGGAGACGGCGGGGAGCGGGAGAGGGACCCGTTGGAGGACGAGCTGCTGGCGGGGCTGGAGGAGCTGGCGCAGAAGACGTTTGTGCTGACGCATTGGGCGGACGAGATGTACGAGTATGTGAAGGCGGTGCCGCAGAGTGCGTTTGCATCCCTCTCTCCCCCTCATCCCCCTCCCTTCATGCGACCCTCCTCCCTCCTTCCGTCCTAATGCGTTTACTGATCCACGCCCACAGAACCCCTCCCCGACCCGACCAAGTTCACCAAACGTGCGGGCGAGGCGGACAAGCACGCGCGGCGGCGCAAGCACGCGGACATGGAGGCCGAGTACAACGCCGTCACCTGCGTCGCGGTGTACATGCTCCTCATGTCGTTCTGCCAGAAGGGCATCAACAAGCTAAGGAACCACCAGGAGCACATGCGCATGCGGCACCCCGACGGGGACTTTGTGGTTAGCGAGGGGTTTGATGATGGTGAGTTGGGTCCCCGATTTCTTCTCGGCCATCCTTTCATTCCGTACCTCCTTTTTATTTTTTAATCGCTTTCGATTCGTTTCCAAACTTCATTTTTGCTGATTCTGGATGTACAGCACAATCGTGGTTCACGGGGCAGTTCGTCAAGTGTTATGAGCGCGCGACGCTGGTGAAGACGTGGCTACCGGCGCAGTACGATGGGCCGAAGAGCTGGCTTGACCAGCTGGTGTATGACCGGGCCTTACTTCTTGTGCGTCTCTCCACCCCTTCTCATCGTGGCAAATCCCACTCATCCTCATCCCTTTTTTTTTCGTGCAGAGCCGCACCGCCGCGCGCAAGGAGCTCTTCGATCAGGCGACGAGCCCGGACGAGTGCGAGAAGCTGTACGACGAGTCGCTGTGGTGTCTGTACGCGCTGCAGGACGACCTGCTGCAGACCGGGAACCCGTTCATGGATGAGGATCG